GCAGGTGGGGGCCGGGGGGTTCTACAGCGCATGCGCGGCGAGGCGGGGGCCTGCGGCCCGCCCTGCCCGCGGGCGGTTCCCCCTCAGCCTGAGGTGCGGGTCCCCGGGCCTGCGTCCTGCAAGCAGGAGCCAAGGGTTGTGCCCTCAGCGGCAGCTCCTTTAGAGGTTGCTCGTTGCCTCACGTGGGGCGGGGGGGAGATGAAGGCCATGTTTCAGGTCTCTTTGGCTGCACCGGGCTTTTTGTAAGGAACGAGCACGTCAGAAACGGGTCCCGAGGGCCTTGTGCTGTGTTTTGGCAAGGATTCCTCAGCGTGCTCCTGCACCTTGAGGGACGATGTTACACAACAGCTACAGCATTGCCATGTGCTTGTAAATGCTGAATGTCAAACTACAATGATGAGATGCTGATGCTCTGTGAATATTACAGTATACTCTCTCCTAGGACTGCTTCATTGCAGCCTCATTCTCTGCCATCTGGTTCCCCCATGCCTTTGCCCTCCACCTGCATCTCTCATCCCAAACCTGGGGTGGGCTCCCCATGCCGTAGGGGTAGAAGGTGGGGCTGGTGTAAGGGGATGTTCCCTGCGATCATCAAAGAATAGAAATGGCAAAAAGTTTGTCAGAATGTTGATACATTTACACTTGTCAGTACTTTGTTCAGCTAGTTTTGCTAAATCTTTGTAGGAGTTAGGGTATTGGTTGGTTTTACAGAGACTCATGTCTGCAAGTGTTGCTCCCAGGACTGAGATTCTTGCATGTAAAGTTTGTAGCAAATTTTCCCTTGCTAGGAATATAATTTACAGTGTTAACAGGACAAAATAAAAAGTTAGTTTTTCTTAAATCAGGACATAGTAGTAAGGAATTTTCTGAGAAGTATATGTTCTCAAATAAATTGCTTTTAGAAAAGACAGTGTCCTGTTGCGTCCTGAGTAAATATTGCATAGCACATATGGCTTACTAAGATGATCCAAGTCATCTCCCTGTTTTGCTTTTACTCCTCTAGGTTGGCTTTGGGCAGTCTTTTTTTTATAAAGGGGTCTGATTTTAAGTAATGTTACTGTTTAATAATAAAATCCCCAAACAAAAAAGCTCAAGCATCATAGGTGTTTGATCATTCTTTGGAACGGTGCTTCAAACTGTTTTTTGTTTTCAGGAAAAATGGAGACTTCTTCCAGCATTTCTAAAGGTTAGTATTATGCACTCACTTCATGGCATGAATACTTCGTCTCCTTTCTAACTTTACAGTCCCCTCTTCTAGCTTTTGCCATTTCCCAGGATACCTGTCCTCACCTTCTGTGTGGATTTTGCAATATTTTTTTTTCTTTAGTTCCATGCAGTTATGGATAAACCCGTTACATAGATTGGTTTCTTTACAGATTAATTTGTGGAGGCATCCTTTTAGAGGTTTGCATTTTTGTATGGCTATTCTCAATGGACACTATATGTGTGTAAGGTTTCCAGCTTATTTTACTGTTTTACTGGCACTGGGAGACCTTATTCAGGGTCTTTATTTAAGACTGTGGTTTTAGTTGTGTTTGTCATAGGAAGCATATAACCACAGATCTGGGTTCTGCAGAGGCTTGAGTATATGTACATCTTCCCTCATGAAGTCAGAGCTTGACTGAACTCAAAGATTTCTAGTGTCTTAATTTCAGTGCTACTCATATAATCTGGTATTAGTTGAAGGCACACTTCTATATAAAATTGGATGTAATAGCAGGACTAACAAACAGTTGGAAGTGAGGAAGGAGAGACGCAATAACGAAAACTGTATCATAAAGAGAGCAGGTGAACTCTGTGATGTGCATAGGTGCCTTCAGGGAAGTGCAGCCACCTCTGCATCTGTCATCAGTCTTCATAAATGTTGCCCACTTGAGCAAGGTTCTTTTCAGTCTCACTTTGTTAATCCCTTTCCTTCCCAGTTTCAAAACCTGCACTTCTCTTTTTTGTTGCACCCTTGAGTGCTTGATTCTGGCAGGAAAACAAAGTTCCAAAGTCAGTTACGGATCGTGTATGTTTTCACATTGGTTCAGGGCTGTGAAGATGCTTCAGGGCCCTAATGAATCCTGTTTCTGTGTCTCTCCTAGCAACCACAGGAACTTCCATCACGAGCTTGAGCTAGGGATATTGTCTGAATTCTTGAGACTGTGAAAAAGGGAGGGCTGCTGATTGAGAGGTGCAATTTGCTGTGTGCTTTATGCCAAGTGTATCCATCCCACATTATTTCCAGCCAGTGAGCCCTTTACTCTAGGGCTGCTGCTGGTGGTCTGGCCTTTCTGCTGCATGTTGGTTTATTTATGCCAGCAGTGATACAGTTATACAAAGCTGATGTGCATTACAGTTTCTATAGTGGAGGGTTTTTTTCAATAAAGCTGTTGATATCACCTCATAAAAAAGTGGAAAGAACTACCAGCCTGATTTCTAGACACTAGTAAATCCATAATATTTTCTTGCCTATATCACATGATGTGCAATGTTTTTGTAAATTAAGGAAACTCTCATCTAAAGAATTTTGCTCTGCAGTCATTCTTCCTTTGTCTTAACCCATGGAAGGCTTCACTGAGCAGCTGGATTTGTCATCCTAAGTTTCCCATTTATTTCTAATAATTTCAGAACTAACTGTTGCCTATCATGCGAACTGTGTAAATGCATCTTTTCTATATGAAGTTTTAAGTCTTGTAACATGTTAGTT